CAGTATATTTACCGGTTCTGAAGACGATTTCTCCGTTAAAGTGATCATGAAAGCCAGCTCGCGTCTAACACTACAAAGCATAAATACATGAGAGTAACCTCCCTTCATGTTCTCCCAGAGACGAATGAATCAAGAAAATGCAGAAAAGCTGCTGGACACCAAATCTATTTTTTAAGAAAATGACTTACTGACAGTGCAAAACCCTAGAGTGAACGGATTCTGCATACTTGTCGAATTTATTTAATTATAATGATTTTAATATGTTTTACGGCACGGCCGGCAGTTAGGGCGGAGCCAGTATGTACTGTAAATGTATCGGAATATCGGTACTGTACTCTTTCAAGCATTGCGTGATGTGTTAAATTACTAAATCAGACCTACATGTATAGCTATTCAGTGTATATAACAGTTAAGTTTCCTTTCTTGATTTCTTTTTGGCTGACAAGATGTTTGATATCGTGAAGTTTTCCGCCCAGGCGTATGGTGACATGACATTAATGTGAGAATGCGAAAGGTTCATTAGACTATATAAGTACTTAAATTTGCACCTCTTGAATCCATTACAAAAATCAAGTGCAGCATATTCTACAAAGACACTGAAATAAAACATATTAGGAAGGATATTGTTAATCATGTATAATAGCATAGTTATCTGATATCCACGAAAAGATATACATATATATATATGTATATATATCTTTACAAATAAGCCCTTTGGATTACTTCAAACTTAACTTCAATGATTTATAAATATTGCATTCAGAGATAATTTATGCAAAGTATTTTACAATTTTTGTTCTTTTTTATGTGTAAAAATTAATTTGTTCAATGCTATAAAAACTGGATTTATATGAAGTTTCTATTAAAATAAGAAGCATATGCGAAATCACAATTTTTGTCATCTTTCAATACCCATTATTATAGCCAAGAGAGTCAGTAGATCTATATATCATATATATATTGTGGATGAATACATTTGTTTCAGCAACTTACTGACTATATGCTTTATATGTCTCTGCTTTATGTATAGTTTTAGCAATAGAGAAAATGTATTGTTTCCTCAATTAGAAATTGAATCAGTTCAGCACATAAAACTGTATATATATTTTTTAATCGTGCAGATTTGTAAAACAACAGATTTTCTTTTATGAATAAAGAATAGCTGTGAGATAGTAATCAAAAATGAAAATTTTACAGTATGGATTCAATTTTTTTCTTCAGTCTATTTTTTTCATGCAAAATATCAATAAAGAAATTCTGATGAAAATACTTGTATGTTTTTTTATCCTATCATTTTGCTTCACTGTGATAAACTCCCTTTTTGTTGACAACCAGCACGCTGTTTTGTTGATATTCCGTTTTCTAAATATATACCACTGCAATCTCTACCCAGAGGTGTCGTAGGGAGTGCAAGGACCGTAACTCTGCGTGATAGTCTTGTTCAACCAGACTCTTGTTGTCTGCATAAGCGTCTGATTGAACGAGACTACACTGCCGTTACAATAATTTTTCGACCATTCAGAACTAGAGCAATGTAGTCGGTAACGTTATGTCAAGAGAATTTACATCTTTAACCAAATCAAATATAAGTATCCTATAGTTAGATATAAGTTTTAAATCTTACAAAAATATAATGTTTGTTCGAGATTCGGCAAACGAGAACTTGTTTTGAGATCAAGATGGCGGAGACTACAGCGCGTGCGACTGGCGGCCATGTTAAGACAAGTTTATCTTTATTTTTCTTACATACGTGTTACCTATAGGGAGAGCTTCGCTCTCACGGGCCCTTCGGGCCTGTGAGAGAGCTCCGCCCTCTATAAATTATTCATGGCATTAATTTTGCAATTACAGCATTATTGTAACCATATATTCAATGTGACCGGGTGGAATGCTGTGTTGGGTTCCTTCGGCATGGTATTTCAGTGAGATGGAACTATAAAGTCGGCATCAGATCCACGCACGCTATATCACAACTGAGAAGCTAGGCAATCACTCCAACATACCCTGTCTCTTGCATACACACACGCATACACTACACACAATGGAGGCACGTCCTTAAATGACATTAGCTGTTAATGATCGTTAATAGGACATTAAACAAAATTAAACCAAACCACTCAATATTTGTCACACATCACACAAACGTACATCTTTGAATGCACGTTTAAATGTCAACGTATTCTGAGAAAGAGAAGCAGCGATTGTTACAAATATTTCTATTGATAATGTACCTCTGGATAAAATATAAACCGTCTTCTGGGTTTCTCGAAACTTTTACGAAGACACATTTTGCCACAATGCTGGTTTTTTGGTTGTTACAGTATCATCACGGATGCTATCTAAGTCCGTGGTATCATATATTTATACAATTCGTATTGAACGGGAAAAACATGAAATATTCTATTTCTTACAGTTTTTCGCGTTACACCACGCAAATATTGCTACACCCGAAAAGCGCGGGAATGTGTAGCGTAATGTAATTGCCATCTCACCATAATTCATCCAACCAAGTTTTAATGATTAGCTGCTGGAAATGGGTGAAATTTACCTGAAGGTAGTATTTCCCTATATAAACTATAGTAAACTTAACCCTCAGACCTGATAACTATTTGGAAATTGAATTTACAATACAAGTTTCATAAAACCAGGCGCGGATTTAGGGGGGGGGGGCACACCCGGCCCCGGCCCCGGCCCCGGCCCC